GCCAGCAGTATCTTAAAAATAAAGTTTGGTGTCAAGAACATTAAACCATTGGAAAATCCTACAATTCACAAATTTCAACACTTTTCAATTCGCACATGTATACAAGACATTACATAATTCAAATGCATGTATGTTGTAAGAATGTAGTATAAACACACCTAAAGTAAAATTTTATAATACTTTCTTCGAAAACTTAAGTCAAGCTTCACGTTTTTCTTATCGATCAAGCCAATAGCTTTTTCGAAATAAAGTTTGGTGTCAAGAACATCAAACCATTGGAAAAATCCTACAATTCACAAATTTCCACACTTTCCGATTCACACATGTATATGAGACATTACATAATTCAAATGCATGTTCATTGTAAGAATGTAGTATAAACACAGCAAATGTAAACAGAACTCTCTTATTTCAGATTGTCTTACAATCTTTTTCCACTGGTGTCCTAGGCTGACCTCCAAGTTCAAATCATCACTGCCCAATGTTAACTGAGCATGTTTAAGATGTGTAGAAACTGATTATATTGCACTAGAGAAATTTTGGTTAAATTTGGTCTGCAAATGTTGTTTTGCATGTGGGTACCAATTGAAGCCATTTAAGATTAGATAAATTAAAATCCCGGTCTCTTTATACTGTATTGTTCTAATAACTGGTTGATAGAAGTAAATTAAGTGAGTTACTTCAATTGTTCTTTAAAGCGACAATACATTTTTTCCTTATACACTTTAAATGTACGTAACTTTAGAATTCATACTGACCATCATGATTCCAGTTCATTTTATCAAAAATTAAAGTTCACCTTTATGTTTATCCTTTCCATCAAGCCTATACAAGCAGCAGTTTTGAAATGTAGTTTGGTGAGACAAAACTTTTAAATAGTTGCCTGGAGAAAGACTATAATTAAACATCAAATCATCACTGCACAACATGCCAACTTTATACTCTACTAATCGCCTTGTTTCTATTTAACTCTTATCCAAAACTAAGTCAACCTTCATGATTCCATTTCCATGAAGCCTATGCAAGTAGGAGTTTCAAATTGAGGGTTGGTGTAAAGAATATTTTATAAAACTGGATTAAAATTCATGCATTTTTGTGCATTTCCACACTATCTGTAAAACTCCGTTTTCAAACGACTTATGTTTTAATACATCACACAAATGCATTTTCATTGCAAGCATGTAGTATAAACATAGTTAATGTAAACAAAACTCCAACATTAGGATTATAGGCTGCTGAAACTCACTGCAATATCTTTTTAAAACTGGTGTATAGTAATCATTATCTGTTCAGTTGATGTTTCATACAGTAGAAATTATAAAGAAATACAGCTGTTGTGTCTATTTGATCTAAGATGGAACTGTAGCAAGCCTCACATGATCTTCTAGAGACAAAAACATGTTTATTATAAAAGTGCAGACTACAGTATCTCAGTTGCAAAAGTTTTTTTGCAACTTGTTTATTTTACTTTAATAAAGATTTTACTTCATCTAGATCTCTTCAGGTTTTCTTTAACTTTTCCCAGAAAAATTGTTTGACATAATTCACATGCTTTGCTCCACACATCCTTTTCAAAATTTTAAATCTTTTAACAATTTATAAGAATGTCATTACTTTATGTTATTTCCTTTAATTTCCAAGCTTTTCTAAATTCTTTGTGAAACCAAGGAAGACATTATATGTATTACTGTACAACTGAAAATATACCCAGAAAAGCAGAAGCAGAAAGAAAACTAGTAATATTGTACAAAGAAGTGGAAATTTTTTAGACACACAGTCAGAAAAGATGGGACTTCAGCGACTTATACTGGATGGGAAAATGGAAGGCAAGAGAGGATTAGGAAGACCAATAGATATTCGCCAAGGACGTTATTAGAAAAAAAAATTGTTGAGATTGCGAAATAATTTGAGATCTTTTTATGTTGCTGTGTTTAAACAACACACTTGCTAAGAACACGCATTTGTGTTATGTAACAACTTCTATACATGTGCACTTGGAAAAACTGTGTTTTAAATACTGAAATATGCAAATAGAGATTTGCTAAGACGTCATTAAAAAAAAAAAATGAATTGCAGTGAATGATAGATAATTAACTTGCTATTAGATTTCGAAATGATTTGAGATCTTTTTACATTGTTGTGTTTATACTACCCAGTTGTCAAGAACATGCATTTGTGTTTTGTAGCAACTTCTATACATGTGCATTTGGAAAAACTGTGTTTTAAATACTGAAATATGCAAATAGAGATTTGCTAAGACGTCATTTAAAAAAAAAATGAATTGCAGTGAATGACAGATAATTAACTTGCTATTAGATTTCGAAATGATTTGAGATCTTTTTACATTGTTGTGTTTATACTACCCAGTTGTCAAGAACATGCATTTGTGTTTTGTAGCAACTTCTATACATGTGCATTTGGAAAAACTGTCTTTTAAGTATTAAAATACGCAAATGTTGATTCGCTAAGGATGTCATTTAAAAAAAAAATTGGAATGAATTACAGCTAATTAATTTTCTATTAGATTGCAAAATGATTTGAGATCTTTTTTACATTGCTGTGTTTATATTATCCAGTTGTAAAAAACATGCATTTGTGTTATATAACATCTTCTATACACATGAAATGGGAAAAACCATGTTTTAAATTCGCGATTGAAATTTGATGCCAACACTAGTTGAAAAATAAACTGTATTAAATTTCCTATTAATTGCTGAAATAATTTGAGATCTTCTAACGTTTCTGTGTTTATACTAAACGCTTGTTAAGAACATGCATTTGTACTGTCTATTGTCTTCTTATACACGTGTGCTGTAATCGGGAAACCACATTTTAAGGATTTGAAATATGTGAAAAGCTGTGGTTTAATTTAATTGATAACAAACTTCATTAAAACTGTTGCTTGTATAGACTTGATAGAAAGGAAAAACATATAAACAGACTACAGTTCTGATCAAAATGATAGAATGAGACAATAAATTAAAGGTTGACGGTCAAAATAGAGAGAATGGTTAATTACTGTTTAAGGCCGTGGAACAGAATTTCAGAATTAAAGTTGAATTAAATTGAGCATGCCACTAACATTAATAAATTACATTAAAAGAGTGATTATTTTGTGCTGTATTATTGTAGGTAGAAGTAGGAAATCAAAACACTAGTAGCACTTTATAGACTAACTTTCCAATTATTTATTACACACAAGATTTCTCCAGCAGTCTATGATGGCTTCGTCAGGTGTAGTGATAAGTATGGTACAGTATATAATAATAATATTTATTTGGCAAAAAGCATATAGGAGAAAAACATCATGAATTGCCCGGATAGGGAATGGGCCCGAAGCCCGAACAATATTTGCTCCCTATCCTTCATATAAAATGAAATACACAAAAACAATCAGAACTAATCAGAAACATAAAATGAAATAAAATAAAATAAAATAAAAGAGTATTTATATAAAAGAGTATTTATCTCCTTAATCTTCAATCTAAGTCTGCTAAAACAACAATTGAAAAAAATACTTAGAGTCAGTGAATTACAGCTAATTAACTTGCTATTAGTTTGCTGATCATCTGAGATCTTTTTACATTGCTGTGTTTATACTTGTTGAGAACATCCATTTGTGGTGTGTAACGCAACTTTTATACACGTGCATTTGGAAATGTGCGAAACACTGGAATTAATCTATTGGTTTAATTACACGACATCGGACTTCATTTAAATGCTATAGCTTGCAAAGGCTTGATAGGAGGAAACGTGATCTCAGAATTTTAGTTTTGGATGAAAACAGAAGACAGAAGAACATGAAGTCAATGGTTGGACCCCTACCAAAATAGAGAGAAGGGTTTAATAAGGCTGTGTAAGTAGAATCTACTATAATTTGAATTGGAAAAGCACACTTGATGAATAGTTGTGGGACTTCTGTTGAAAATATGAGACAGAAGCTTCTTTAGATTCCTTCAAGCAAAAGAAAAACATAACATCATGCTGAGGAAAACTGGATCATCTAACTGATCTTCTGACTGAAGAAAAATCTTTGTGGATCTTATAAATCTTATGGCATAAAGAGTGAAAAAGTTGAAAGAACTTGGTTTGACTTTAAGAAAAGGAATCAATAGAGAACAGATGGGATTTGAGCCAAGACATGAAAACAGTCGAAGATGGAGAGTCGCGCAGTGTCTCAGGTAGAGTTCCAAAGCTTTGAAGCACAAAAAATAAAAGAACGATCGCCACAAGTTTTAAGGTGAGCAACAGACAGTTAAGAATGGTAGATAAAGATGAGCAGACCTAAGTCTGCAGGTGCAAACAGCATAACATAGTGAAATTAGATTTGAGATGCAGTGGGAGGATGAATTCTAGGAAATGTTTCCTTTTTGCAGCATGGATACTTTCACACAAACATAGTGCATTTAGATAAAAATTCATAACATTTTTCAGAAAACTGATAATTTTAATTTTTGATTTACATGTACAATATTTAATTTTAATTTTTGAATTACATGTACAGTATTACATAAAAAGTATTTTATATTCAATTTAAACATGCTACTAAGAAAATTTTTCAGACTTCAATTTACCTTAGTTTCACTAGCTTAAATAGATAACGTCGTGAGTTACAACTAATTAATTTGCTATTAGCATACTGAAGTCGTTCAATATCTTTTTACATTGTTTGTTTATACAACAAGCTTGTAAGAACATGCATTTTTGTTATGTAACATCTTCTATACACACATGCAATCAGGAATTATGTAACATCTTCTATACACGTGCAATCAGGAAACCACGTTTCACACAAATTTGTTATATTTTTTGGTTATAAATTTTTTTATATAAATTTGTTGTACTTTTCTACAATATATTATTTTTTGCTTTCTCCTGGCTTATTAAGATTTACATAAGCACTTACACAATTATTTCAAATGCTCATTTCCAGCTTATTATTTTCCTTTAAATGACTGATTCATTTACTGTATGTTAGGTGATACTTTTTTTTACAGGGCGGGAAAAAAGAAGTTTTCTTATTTATCAAATAAGTTTTGCCAAAAACGTCCAGACTGTGGAGAAATTAAAAATAAACTTTTACTGGTGAATGTTAAAGTGTAAGATGGGATGGTTAAATGCTTTTAATATATTTATATATAGGAAGAAACATACATCTAATTTTGAAGATTTCAAGGCAGCGAAGGGCTTAAAAATATAGAAACACTTTTAATTTTTCTTAAATTTCCATTTTTTCGTGGTGGCGGGTGCGCTAATTATTAAAAAATAAAAATTAATTTCTATTCGAAATCATCATTATTGGCAGGCAGCAGGTTTGTCAAACAAGATATAAAAAAGTCTCGCTCATTCAATTTGTAATAAATTCTTTTCCCATACATAAAAAAAAAAACAATAGTGTCTTGACAATGAAAATTTCATTTTCAAAAGAAGAAATATCAATGAGCTCCTGAACAAAAACAAGTGTGAACAACTTAGCTACTGTATGCTTCAAAATTTGACCTCATTTGACAATTTACTTGTTGAGTTTAATGCACTGAAAAAATACAAGACAGGTTACACAACAGACATTCTAAGTTGAAAGAAAAAACATTAAGGAAATTTACCCTAAATGAGTTCTACCTGTTACACTTACTTATCCTAACTTACAATAAACGTACCTGGAGTTAAGGTGAATAGAACGAGGTCTGTAAATTCAGCACAGATTTAATAATTAATAACATAAGAAACATGTTTTTCATTGAGAAGACGTAAATCTAAGTGTTAACATTTTTTTTGTCAATGAATTATTACACAGTTTTTCTTCAATTTCCCTTTGAGGTGATTAAATACTTGTGCACTGTGACCAAGCACTCACAATTAAAATTATAGTAGCAGTGTCAAAAAAATTGAGTCCACATATCATAAATATAATTTTCAGATACTTAAGCTTTGTCCAGACCATCAACTTTATTTAAAAAAAAAAAAAGAAAAAACTGTTGTAACCCATATATAGTCAGGATGTGCTGATATATATTCATAATAGTGAGCTTTCGCATCAACGATGGACGGACTTAAGGACGGTAATCTGACACAAAAATTGATCTGCGCATGCACAACCCCCACAGTTTCTCGTTCTTGGCAAAATCAGACTGTTTTTGGCCAAATTATCATCTGTGGAGAATCACGAATGACTAGCTCAAGCAGCCAATCAACGTTCTTTAGGGATACCAAGCAGCCAATAAGCGCTCTTTAGGATACCTAAAAAAGAGGGCGTGTGTCAGCTTAACGATGTCACGCACTACCGTTCGTTTTTCAATTCCGAAACTGCGAATGATCAAAACACAGACGAGTATCAAGGACGGTCACAGTTCATTGCTTTTAGTCCTAGAGGACGTCCGCACTGCATTTGCGAAAGCTCACTAATGTTATGCCATCACGACAATATTAATAGGCACTTTACATGTTTTGGTCAAACAAAAATTGGTGAGTGTGAACAAGGCTTTAGGTCTCCTATTCAAGAGCAGAGTTTATTACAAATTAATGTAGTGCACTGCTAAAATGTTATGTACTTTGATGTACTATAGGCATAAAGAAGTGGAGTTCTTTGTAAATTGTAGGTACTGTACGTGGGAGTGTGACATAGAGCCTATGTCCGAGGAGGCAGGTTGAGGGTGTTCCCTTACCTATTTTTGCAGTCCAGGGGGCACCTTCCCTGGAAGCTCGAGTTTTAGTCTTTTTAATCTCAACCTAAATTATTTACAACATACATTTTTTTTAACAGTTTTTATCCTCCACATAACTTGCTTGATCTGCTGCTTCTACTGTACCCTTTAAAGCTTTTTTGACACTACCTTGCATACATTATATCATTATATGTAAATAAATGCCACACTTCGAGCCAGTTGAACCATAAGTTAAATGCCTATGATTATTAAGCTCTTATTTTCTATCATTATTATTTGATGCATTATGTGAATAAATTGAATTGAATTGAATAATCGATGAAGCACAAAGAAGATGATTTCTAGATTCATTTATTACCTCCAACTACATGGGCAACAAACTTTTTTCCTAGGCTCAAGTAAAACTAGCTTAAATAATATCAGACTTTTAAATGTAATGTAAAGTTTACATCAAACTTTTTCCTAGGCCGGAGGTGGTATACTTATATATATTGGTAGCAAAATTAGTAACAAGCTTTCCTGGGATTTTACAAGGGAGAGATTTGATAAAAAATTTAAATTTACCATACATATGATTCATAATCAGTAAAGCAGGAAACAAATGTGTATTTCTTGACATAAGAGAGAGACAGTCATAAATCAGCAGGCTAGTCTGACAAATTAAACTTCAATATATTCATCATAAAAATTACATTTTATATCATATTTCCTGCAGCCATGCTTTCAATATTGCTAATATCACTCTTGAATGTAAAATAATTCTAAAGGTAGATACACTTTTTTTGTTATACTTTATACTCATGCACTTTATTCATTATAATTTGCTCATTTTAACTAATACAACCTGCTAATTTCACTTTTTGAATGCTGTTTTTTTAAATACTTATATATATTTTTTAATTCTTATTAAGACTATTCTGTAGAGGGTGCGCTTCATGGCTGAATATTCATCAATGGAATCCTGACATAATACTAGTAATACAAAAGGTACCAAAAGAACTTTCAAAACATATTTGGTATTTGCATACAATACAGCTAGATTTTAAAACTTTTCAAAGGGTGGAAAAATAAATATAAAATTCTGTTCTCTTATTATCCAGTCTCCTACCACTTCCTTTTGGTTTGTCATTCTTTGTTCTTATTTTAAAAATATGCTTTGTATTTATTTAAATTATGAGCAACAAAATTTCTCATCTGGATATTTTTTATAGGAGTGGAGTACATATTAGAATTATATAAAAACAATTATATTATTTATGACTAGTGTGCTTACAAGCCCAAAACTATTTTGTTTGGAATACTAATTACAAAAAGTACAGTTTTGATGGCAAAAATAAGATGGAATTTCTTGGTCATCTTAAGAAAAAAAGTCTTGAATATAACACAGTACAAGATACCGAAAAGAGAAGTAGAGGTAGACCTAGCCTAAATTTCAAAAAGTAAGGTCGAGCTGTTGAACATCAGAAAGTGGGAGATTTTTGCAGCAGCCAGAGACAGAGAATCTTGGAAAGTCAGAGGCAGAGGGAGGTGGCAGAGAGATTGCAAAATATGGCATAAAATGTATCTCCTATTGGCTAAAGTGTGCAGAATTTTGCAACAAGTAGGGTTTGTATAACACATAATACAAAAGGTCTCTATGCACTTGAGTGCCTGAAAAAAAAACATTAACAATTTTTGTTTAAGTACAAGTAAAAACAAAAGAAATGTATGAAAAAAAAACAAAAACATGAAAGCAGCATCATGCTAAGTATTGTGTGAAGTGGAGAACTACTGTATGAGTTCATCAGAAAAAAATAATAAAACATTGAACTACTTGACCAAACAAGTAGAATTGTTACAAGACATACATGTAGATCTCTTCCATTAACGACATTCCATCAACTCTTAGATATTAATCATTATTTTTCTGGATAGCTCACATTAAATCTTTGGTTCAGGCTTCTATTCTAATGGTATGGTTTACGTCAATAAATTTACACACTTTTGCGAATTAGCATATTAATATTAGGCAAAGAAAATGATGTTCTTGTCACAATTTTTATAAAAAAAAGAACAAAGATGAGGCCTTCCTAGACTTTTCCTCTACACACTCAGTCGTCGATGGTGCATCTAGGAATACCGAAGCAGGAGGGCTAATGGAGGAGGGGGAGGTTGAAGGTTAAGTATTAAAGGGGGAACCAGCTAGCAAAGGAAGGTGAAATTATGATGTGATTTTAGCCTAAAATACTTGGAACATAGAGCATAATTCTTCACTAATTAATGGGGAGACTGAAGTTAAACAAGGGGGAACCAACTGGCAAAATAAGGTGAAAGTGTGATGTGATTATAGTCTACTTAAGCATAATTTTTCATTAAGAGGAAGACTGAACTATTAGCCACTAGCCTTTTTAGGTTTGTTCCAAATTTTCACAAATAAAACTTCCTTCATTGATGATTAGTCTCATTGTTCTTCATAACAGCGTGGTAAGTATGTGAAGAATGTGAATTGGGGGAAGTACCACTTTACAACATCATATTGGCATCATTAATAAATAACTGGAAGTCTTATCATCACGTTTCAGATTTTGATTCACATGTTGTGTATTATTAAGTGAACGCCTACACCCTGATCTTGGCTAACACCTGTTTTATTATGGTCTTTATTTACAATCCTCTTAGAAGAAGGTGACAAATCCCCCAATCATCGAAACAATAAGCAATAATAATAATTACATACAAGGATATCATACGGTAGAGCATGAAAGTTGTAAAACCACATTTTTTGTTTGTTTGCATCAGCCTATTAAATGCATTCTTATGAAGCTTTAGGCTTATAAGTGACACCATTTTTTCTCCAATTGTTTCATCATTGTTAGGTAAGTGAAAATAAAGAGAGAGACTGACATTTATTCTATGTTGTTGTTCTACCTAAATTCATTATCAAGATTTAATATCAATTATTTTAATTACATAAAATAAGAATTTTAAGAAGAATTATATTGATATTAGGTGTATGTGTCATCCAACTCAACAAAAAAATGTAATTTATTGTTTTACAAGGTAAAAATGAAACAAGGACATGAATAAAAATACCAGTGTTATCCCCAGGTGTATCCCCCGGAGATGCATTAGAGTTGACATTGGGTTGTTTACAATTAAAGGCAGCTAGCATTTGTGTGAACAAATTTTCTTGCTCTCTTTACTATTCTACACCCATAATTTTGAACAACCAATTTTGCACTCAGGGCAAATCATTAAGGTGCTCTGGATATTTTATGCTTGCTACTAAAATAGTTATTGAAATGAATTTTACAAATTTGAGAAATCTGGAAGTGCATTTCATTTAACAGGTGGAATGTTAAGTGTTGAATGCGGTTTCCAAGTAGAAAATAAACTAATAATTAAGGAAGTCA